GTATGGTCCGATGAACTAGACACCGGCCCGCAATTTATTGCGGTTTTCACACACCGCCCCGCTGCCTTGCGGGTCGGGCTTTGGCTAGCCGAAGACCCCGGTTGTGAATTCCCTAAGAAAATTCACCTACAAAGCCAGTTAAATAGAACCGTGAGACACGGGCTTTTGTTTCATACGAGTTTAATCCCGTTTCAATGCACGCAAACGCACACACACGCACATGCAAGGTCTCCTCGTATTTCAGGTTTCCTTCACATAGAGTCAACTTTTAATCGCTTCCTCACTGTTGAGAGATTTGTTCAAACAGACACTGATAGTTTCAGCCCGATAACTTTACGCGCATCCGGGCCAAACGAAACATCGCAATCCAGTCAGGCCAAGCTTATTCGCACTGCTTGAGTAAAAAGAAAACTTTTTCGGATAGCTTGTTTCCAACTGTGGGTGACTTTGATGCCTAGTCGTTTGCGTATCCCTCTAGTCATCCTGCATAGTTCCCTGTCCTGAAGCTGGTAATGTTCTTAACTTCTGATCCATATGTCTGAAAAAATCTACGCGCTCGTGTTGTGTTTTTCTAAGATGGATCGGATGTATATTTTTACGACGATCTGGACCGTAGAACTTTAGTTCAGTATCTTATTTGTGAGGATTCTTCTATTGTGCCTGGATGTTTTCCCGCAGACGAGCCGACGCTTTCGTATCCAAACGCCCAACAAGAACAATTTCTGTTAATCGCACGGGATTCATAGGTGGAACGGATCTCACATTGTCACCAACGCCTTGTGTTTCGTTTTTTTCGTTCGTCGTGGCTAAGACAAGCTAATTTCCTCAAGAACGATTTCTACTTTTCTCTACCTACATGACAATGTCCCCTCACTAAAAACGTTATTTATGATATCTAGAGTCATTTTCCTACCTCATACCACCACCGATGTATCGTCCGAATGTCTGAGGCATAGAATTGTCTGGATTAGAAGCAGAATTTTCGTTAAAAGTTAGTGTCACAGATTACATAACAAGACCAGAACTTGCCAACAGCGCCAACGTTGTTTCTTTGACCTACGCGCAGAAAATTCATCGTGAAATATGGATACACAAGGATAGGATTTCTCTTCTTGATTAGTAGATTATCTTAAAAACAATTCACTGTTGGTGCAGCCAAATCGAAGCGAACGAACTAATGATGTTGAAACAGACATGGAAGCAGTTCAGTGACTTCAACAAGCGAGTTGTTTCCCAGAACGGTTGAGTGTTGTTGATGCAATTTCGGTGTTCAGCAACAAACGGCTGGTATTTCCTTTTGATAGATCAATTTTCTTTGCAACTATATTGTCCCTGAGGAAGCGTTACTAGTATCTTACCTGAGAATTCTTGTGGAAACATGGCGCAGAGCCCCAGGGAAGTTGATTGATAGGAATCATGGGTCATTCCTAAGATCAAACCTTAATTTGACCGTACACCTTACTATTGGTATTCGGTACGTTTGGTTTAAGTCACTTTGACATCGCAATTGAAAAAATATTTCGTGTTCTTATTAACGAAACAGCAACCGGAGGAAAAATAATAATTAATAAATGCATCAATTTGATCACAATGAGCTAGGAGTCAACGACCGCTGAAGGAGAGAAACTTACCAGTATGTCCAGTTGGGAAAAATGTTCCATCGCTCGCTTGAAAGCAGTTTCAATTTGGCTGATATCAGACAGGTCCGCAGAGATACAAATAAATGGCTCCTTCTCTTCTTCGTTGGCCAGTTTGCTCGCTTTGCGACACTCATTCAATGTGTCATGTAATCGTTGTTCATCTCTTGCAACTAGAGCCAAACGGGATCCCAACCTGGCGAATAGCACAGCAGTAGCACGACCAATCCCCGAACTGGCACCTTCGATAGTGTGGTAGAGAGCAGAGAACGGGACAAGGTGCAGTTCATAGGTTTCCAGCAGGCAGTAGAGGCTGACATAACAAGCAATCCATCTGTTTTATTCGTTCGACACCGTACTCGTTGTGTGTCCATCCGTAAATGTAAATGGCATTGTCCTGTAAACTGACGCATCAATGAAACCCCTATTTTGGTATGGCTAGAAAATGTGCTGCAATTATAGATATAAAAGAGAACAACTTTTCTAACAGAAGGTATATTCCGTTTCGATTAACCCATTTGACTTCACACACCTCGCCTATTCTTCGCTTGTTGGATGCATATTTGTGCGAAGCCTCACTAACCAGTGGGTCGTTCGTTCCCTCGTCCGTATTAAGACTTGTCAATAGCGCGTTTACCTGCCCGGATCCAAATGACAAACCTTCAAGTTAAAAGACAACACCAACACAATCGTTCAAGAATCCTATACGCATTTCCCTGTGACGGTGATACCAAATGGACTAATTCAAACGTAAAACTACACATTAATATGGACAGTCGCTCAATATGAATGACATCAACCGTGTGGCTCAACGATAAGTTTCCACATGCAACTCCAAGGATCACCGAGATAGAACACACTGAACTTCACTTCTCTCAACGCGGGCGAAGTAGGTAATGAGTGCTGTTTGGGTGCCGTTACAAAACCGAGTTGATAGCAAATTCTAATAAATTCCTAACTACTGTGATTAAGATAGAAACACTTGCCTCAGCTGCCAAATCACCATGGTCAACGGGGCTGCATGTTTGCCATTTAAATACATGGGCAGAAAGAGAGCACGGTTCCAACCAACCTGGTTCTCTTCGCTTTATGTCGATATGTAGTCGTGTTATCATTAGAAGTAGCCATAAGCGATAAGCAGTTCGAAAACAAAACAGGATTTCAACTGGTCACTGAAATAATAAGATATGAATGAATGGGCACTGTTTCGTCTAAGAAACAGTTGCACCTCATCGGCAGAAAAATCGTAAGAACATATGCGTTTCCGCCCGGAGCTCAAAGAAACCATAACACCGTGGTTGGCAAACACTAACATGTACCCCTGTCAACAATACTGAACCGTGCAAGGATCAGATAAGTATCGTGGAATACAACCGCGGCAGTATCAATTGACATTTTATACATAATTCGGAACATTTCCGTATTTTTATACCATGCCGCCATCCTTCGCGTCCATGTACTCATGAGATTCTCAATAGAACTAATACAAGCCTTGTTTCGACCTACTGTCCCACGACGCATTATAATGGTTGGGTCGTCATGCTCAAAGCAAATGTTGAACCTCTAGAAAAAGTCAAAACTGAAATACTTTTGTCCACGAATTGACGCTTGCTTAATGTTGAAATTTAGCGCCTGCTGTGATATTGTGCTGTCGGTTCTGCTGAACAGTTATGAGAATTTCACTCTGCTGATGGAGGGAATCCATCGACTGGAATTTTTCATCATCCATGTTTGCGTAGGATGAGGCGGGTAGGCAGGAAACAGTGAGGTAAACCGTCGTGTCTTCGGTAGAAAATTCATTTTCGCGCCGAATCCGGATGTGTGGGCTTCGTTGGTTAGGACAGTTATTGTGCATGCCTAGCGCTTTTATTGCGGTCGCTGCTCCAGGATGGAGAAAAACACGTACAGGTCAGATAATGCGGATACGTTGAGTGAAGAACCGCAAATTACAGATGAGGCAAGGTAGCTGTCTACAGTCTACCGGGCATTTTTTCAGAGGATATTAACTGGTTGGTTGGAAACGCTGATGGACAAGGCAGCAATCCAGATCAGAATACTGGAAGGGGCGCGTATGCACAGTTAGATAATGTATCTCTTAGGCAAAGCGTTTCGTTCTCGCTTTCCCTTTGTTAAGGCACATCCGTTATCTAACCACTTGCGACATTCATGGTTAGTCTATATTGGGTGTTTGGCAGCTGCGGTCGTGGTTCTCTTCGCTGATTCGTCATACAGTGTTGATCATGGTGATCTTGTACTTTTTGCACTACTTCGTTTAAGTGGACAGTGTTGTGGTTTGATTAAATTTGGACATACGGCCGTTTCTTAAGCAGCGATCAGTGAAGCTCGCTTCACTGTATCTCGCTGTACGATGATGATGATGTGAAGAATTATCGCTGGTCAGCATGTTACCGACTGACTCGGATGACAAAACCACTCGGGGATTCGGTGAACACATACTCCTGCATCGTAGCATGGTGTCCAACATCTACACGTAAATCCAAGGTAATCGGAGGGTCGATTTTCCCCAGCCTGTCGTTTGCGAATGCTCACTCAATGATGACTGAATGAAGTGCCTACTTTGTTTTTTTCATTTACCCACGCAACACACATGACTCACCAACGGAGTGCCCAATGTCCTACTAGTGCTGTCGAATGTTGTCAATGCACTCAGAAGTGTGGTGCTTTCCCTGCAATCAATGTTGAATAAGAATTTTCCAGGACACAATACCAGTTTATCGTCGTGTCAGTTGGCACTTCAAACGAATGCCTATTGA